TAAATATTCCACCTTTCGCAGAAGACGCCTTCCCCTTAGACAGATGTTAAAAATGTTCAGGAAGAGTTGTGAACACGCAGATCGGCTGGACCAGCTACTTTTCTACATTTCATAACTTTCACTGGAGAAATCAGCTCCTTAGGCGGTCAGAGAACTTTCTGGTTTAAGCTCTGCTAACGCATTCACCGCCTGCTTCTAAGGACCTGATGGGAGAAGAAAGGAGGAGACGCTGCAAACGTTAAATATCTATGATATCTATGCGTCTGAGAGTAAAAGTACAACACAGCAATATTGTCAAAAATAAAATTTGCTACAACTTTTGTTTTAAAAGTTTTTGTAACACACTCAGATTCTATAGTATTAGATACCATCAACAACTAGCAAAACAACGAATTCGTCTAATTTTCATATTTCTTTCGATATCTATACCTTTAAGAGTAAAAATGCAAGAGAGCAATATTATTAATAACAAAATTAGCTTCAACCTTTGTTCTGAACTTTCAAAACCAACGAATTCATCAAATTTTCATATTTTCGTATTTTCCTCGATATCTTTGCATCTGAGAGCAAAAGTGTAAAAGAGCATATTGTTAAAAATAAAATTTGCCACAACTTTTGTTCTAAAACTGAACTTGACAGTAGGAGAGAGCAAAATGCTTCAATTTGTGCTAATTGTACAAATAGGGGATAGTACGCGAGGTACGAGATCATGGTGCTGCGGGGGTACCGTGCCTCAGTGGATCTGGTGGAGCCACGACGCCAAGTGTTCACGATATTCACGGCTTAACCTTGGGAAAAAAAGAGCGGCAATGCTCGATGTAGCTCAGGTTACGAGAAAAAGAGAAGCGAGATAGTCCTAATAGTATATATACTATATAATAGAACAATACCTACACCTACGACACACTAACTCAGGTCTTCCACAGTGCATGTCCTGAGAGAATTGTGGAGGAGAGAGGAAGGACTACACCTTGATGAACTCCTGATCTACATTCACTGAGGGTCGCTTGCAGAAAAGCTTTCAATAAAGCAAAACAAGTCAGAGTTCAAACGTTTAGTACGACAAAAGAAACGACAAGCCTGGAGAGGTTTTTGTGAAGAGGTGGAGAGCGCTGCTGAGGCCTCACGCCTAAACAAAATACTATCTCGCGGCCAAAAACACAGTTGTGATAAAAAACTCTCAAAACTCTAAAAAAGTCTGATGGCAGTTTTACCAAGGATCCAAAAGAATCGTTGCATTTACTAATGGATGTTCATTTTCCAGGTTCTTTGCATGATTTGTTAACGCTTCTACACCAAGTGGAATTTAACAACTCTCCTACCAGCCAAGACTGGCAGATAGCCAATCAGGTTATACGGAATGAGTTGGTAGAGTGGGCCGTCGACAGTTTTGAGCCCTTCAAAACACCCGGACCCGACGGTATATTTCCTGCTCTTCTTCAATGGAGCCTAGAGGATATGAAAATACACTTGATGAGAGTTTTTAAAACCTGCTTAGCCTTTAATTACATTCCCATCAGCTGGAGGAAGGTTACAGTAACCTTTATACCAAAGAATGGAAAAAAGGACCCAGCGCCAGCGGATCCTAAATCCTTTTGACCAATTAGTCTCTCATCATTTCTTTTAAAGACGCTTGAAAGACTATGTGAACATTACATTAGAGATAATGTACGTAAAGCGTTTCCTTTGCACTTATACCAACATGTTTGAGGAATCTTGAAGAGTGCCATTGGTCATCGCAGGCTGGATAAAAACAATGCGCTGAGGCGAAAGGACTCACAGTACAGAGAGCTGTGGCTAAGGGTTGCCCACAAGGTGGCGTTGAACGATGGTGTGAAGAACATACCCTCTCTGTCAATCCTAAAAAGACTGAAACTGTTCTCTTCACTAAACAAACTCTGGTGAAATATCTGCGTGTTATCTTGGACAAAGGACTAACTTGGACATCATACATTAGTTGCAAAACCAAAAAAGCAACGATTGTATTGACTCAGTGCCGAATTGCTACGATTGCGATGGAGACTATGCTGAACGTGCTGCCCCTAGATATTTTTATCAGGGAGGTGGCCGTGATGGCATTATTTCGACTGCGATCAGTAAATGAAAAGCAGGTTGTTAAAATGGGAATAGTCCGGAGAGAGCGCTCTGGAGAGAGGCTGTTAGTAAACAACCCCTCCTTAAAGCTCGCACAGACTACATTACACCTACTTTCTTAGGCAAGCAACACTTTGGCATTGAAACGATACCCCAGAGCAACTCAAGCTCGGACAAACGCTGACCATCTACACTAATATCTCAAGGAAGGCTGGAGGTTAAAGAGCGGGAATTTTCTCGCACGATCTCCAGCTGCACCTTTCCACTTCGTTAGGATCATATTGCACTACTGCTCAAGCCGAATTAACTGCTATAAGCATAGCAGCCGATGCGATCATCGACTCCAAAAAAGTTGGCAGAAATGTTGTAATCTGCACTGATAACAGTCAGGCTATGCTGGCAGTTGGTAGGCACCACACTGCATCATCGTTGGTGAAGTACAACAACGTTACGATAAAGTGGCGAAAAGGACACATCGGAACTAAAAAGGAAACAAGTCACCGATCTCCCCTGAACCGTTTGTACCACTAGCTGTTAATACAGCATCAAAACTGATAAACTCCATCTCCCATCGAGCTTTTTGCGACAGATTTGATGGGACAGCAGCAGGTGTCTTTGCTAAGAAAACTCTGCTCTACCCTGACCGGAAGAGATCTACTCAGTTTCTGGGAAAATCAAAAAGTGGCTTATTAGAAGAAAACAAGCCCAATGTGGAACGTTCTGGAGATGGTATACAATATCGAGTTACATCTCGTGTCATCTCAACACGTTTAGCTTCATGAATGTGGATTGGAAGAAGCTCTGAAGCCGTTTAGAAAAAAAGCTATGTGAAGGAAACTTTGGGAGATTTGAAGGCTGTGTGGTAAATGGTGATATATGGAGTAAAGGTATGAGTAATTTATGTCAGGAGTTGTTAAGAAAACCAAGGAGAGAAACAAAGCAGAAACTGAGTGTGAGTTGTTGGAGTGATAAGTTGCAGAGTATGAGAAGAGAAGTTAAAGTGGCGAGACCAGAATACCAGGATAGCATGGGGACGAGTGTCAAGGCAAAGACGAAGAATGCGGTCGTGGAAAAATGGGGAGAGATAGTAAGGCAGAATGGATAGGGTATATGACAAGGGAGCTGACCATCAAGAAACAATTCTAGAAGTACTTTGCACATGAGGTGGTAGCTGAGATACAAAGCGGCAGAAGAAGTTTAGGTGAGAAATGGTCAACAGGGTGGGAGATTCCAGGAGGAATAGGTGATTGAAAAATAGAGGGGTTGACTGAGGATGAACAGGGCAGAGTGATGGAACCGAAATAAAGTGCAAAGACCATGTTAATTAGGCACACAGCTATATCAAGTCGGTTTAATGAGAACAGCAGCACCTCGTTGTCGCAAAGTTTTTGGTCCTTATTCTTCTGTGGTTCAATCTATTTCGTCAGCTCGTTTTTAGTCTGACTTCGTCCTTTCATGCCTGTACAACCTACACCCATTTTGCTCTCACTATTTGTAGACCTCCTTTTTGCGGATGTTGTCCTTTCCACTCTGTGTTTCCTGTGCCTGTTTTAATTAGTCAAATGTGACCATTTCAACCTTATTTTGATTCTTTCTAGTCCGCTTGAATGTTCATGGAGATGTTTTTTTCATGACGAAGAACGCAACACATTTTTTGATTTTGTCCTTCTTAACTCGTTCCAATTTTTCAAAATAGTCCCTTTTCGGGGACATTTGCGACGGGAGTTCTAAAAGTGGCATAATTTGGACGGGTTCCTCAGCATCTATTTGTTGGAAATTGTTACCAGCTCCCTATGGTGAATATGTCTTAAGTCTTTGACGCTCGCTACTTAGTCTGTTGGGGAAACGCGAAATTTTCGTGTTTCTGGCGAAGGAGTTAAGGGATATTTCGCTATTCTTTTCACGTTCACTCATGGTTAGGTTATCTACTACTTGTTCCTCAACGCAAACACCAACATCCTCTGCCTTTAAAAGCAAAACTTCCAACTTTTCCCATAAATTAAGAATCCCATCCATCTATAATATTTTATGAAAAACTTTGTCAAATAAACCAAAAGGTTTGCAAATGTCTTAAATAGCCAAAAAAACGATGTAATTGGTCTGACGGAGTATTGGCTTAAGAGAGACGAAACTATTAAGATAATGTTAAAAGATTTTAAAATGACATCATGTTTTTGCAAACAGAATTTGCAACATGGAGGCGTGATGACTCTGGTACGGGATGAAGTAATGGCCGAAAACGAGCTGATATCAAAACTTATGCTATTGAGAGGGATTTTGAAATTCTTCTTTCAGAACTTCTTGTTTCCTGTTATAAATCGCCGTTCGGTGATTTTGATGATTTCCTAATGCGGCTTGAAAGACTAATGGATCATTTGGATAGAGAATTATTGACGAAGCAACAGTTTAATGAAACGTCTCGAATTGGAGTTGCCTACGCCACATGTATGTAGGAGTTTACCCAAGAGAGGGCGTCACTTTTCGGCCTCCCCACCATTCGCACACACACACATTTTTATTTTTTAAGAATATCAAGACCAGTTGAGAGAGTTCCGCCGAAGACGCCGCACGAAACACTTCTCAAGACGTGCAAAGACGAATTCATTATTCATTTTTGTTATTATCAAACAGTTTATTTTAATATACGGTTTAATTCTAAAACGTGTTACATTAAAAGAAAATCCCTAGACAACATAAAGAAAGAGCCTACATTTTGGGCGCTCGCCTGGGATAAGCAAGGACGAAGAAAGAGTGAAAAGAAAGGTGTTGGAACGAGGACGGAAGAACGACGGCGTGGGAATCAACGACGAAACCGGTGACGACCAAATGTGCATTTGGCGCCACCAAAGATAAGGATTCCTAGAAAAATACGAGTAAGAAAATAACCTTTTGATCCTTTTGAAAAAATGGAGTTGGGACGCATTCTTAAAATCGAACAAAACATCACAAAAGCGAGTCTTAAAGTCATTAAAGCCTTTCATAAATTTGTTTTTGAAAATGATGATGGTCGAAATAATAGACGTAATTTGCGAAGGTTTGAAGGCTTTGATTTCAAAGACGATAACGACGAACGATTGCAAGCTAAGATAAATTTTGCCATGAATAATTTGACGCTAGGAGAATTAAATTCAATTTGTCAAATCCTATGTGTGGATAACGACGCGAATGACAAAAAAGAATTAGTTGAAATGTTGTGTGGAAAATTATCTGATCTAGAGCTAAAAAATTTAGATGACGATATACACGACGATGGTTCTGGAAAAGATGTTGACACCACGCATATTGAAAGAAAAAAAGGAAAATCTGATGACGAAAGTGAATTAGAAATGGCTGATATAAGTAAAAGTAATAACATGAGCGACGGAGAACAAAGTTTCACAAAAAATTTCGAAAACAATTCCAAGACTTTTCATCCTAAATTCATGCTGACATTTAAAGACATTGAAGAAACTCTATGCACCTTTGATGGAGCTGAATCACATTCAATAAATAAGTGGATCGTCGAATTCGTAGAAACATCGCTAATGATGGGATGGAATGAGGTGGAAAAGCTGATTTATGGTAAACGGTTAATGAAAGGAGAAGCATTGCTGTTTATTAGAGCTGAAAAGGGAATAACGTCATGGACAGCCCTTAAAACAAAGTTAATAAAGGAATTTGGTAGAACAACAAATAGCGCAGTTATTCACAAGAGGTTAACTACAAGAAAGAAGAAAAAAGACGAAACATTGTGGCAGTACTTAATGAAGATGAGAGAAATAGCTGCAGAGGGAGACATTGAAGAAGAAGTGTTGATCGAGTATGTGACGGAGGGAATTGTTGACGACGAAATAAACAAGACAATACTTTATGGACCAACAACATTAAAAGAATTTAAAGAAAAATTGAAAATGTACGAGAGATTGAAGGAAAAGCAGGGCAGAGAACATAGAGACACAAAGAAGGAAGATTTTATGCGACAAAACAACACAAAACAGACTCAAAGAAAACAAGATACCATAAAGGAACGAGATGAAAGAAACATGAGATGTTTTAACTGTGGAAAAGGAGGACACCAGGCAAAAAATTGTCGAGATAAGGACAAAGGTTTAAAATGTTTTAAATGTGACAACTTTGGTCACATAGCGAAAGAATGCGAAAGGGAAAAACCACAAAGAAAGAATTCCAATCGTGACGAAACCAAAGAACTCTATGTTGCTCAAGAAACCAAGATGGAATTGTCTAGATACAAGACGGTAATACTGAATGGAAGAAAAATCAACGGTTTTATCGATACTGGGAGTGATTTAAATTTAATAAAAGTAACAGCATTTTTGCAAATAGGTGGGCCAAAATTTGACGAAACGCCTATAACAATCAAAGGAATCGGAGATAATTGCATTACAACATTGGGCAAGTTTAAAACAGAGATGAAAATGGATGACTGTATTTTTGCAACAGATATCCACATTGTTCCCGAAGAAGCAATTCCCATGAAATTCATTATTGGAAAACCTGTACTAGAGTTTGCAACCTTGACAATAAATAACAAAGGAATCAAAGTGACGGAGAATGGAGAAAATAAAGATTTCATCATGACTCGAGAAATTGAAAAGGAAAGAGAAGTATTAAGTGATATCTTTATGATTCAAATGGACAGTAATACCTTAAACGTAGGAAAACTTGGATGTTACAAACGGATATCGAATATTGTACAAGCGTACAAACCACAGCATCGACAGAGTACAGCGATTCGAACTAAAATAATATTGAGTGATGAAATACCAGTTTATCAATCACCTAGAAGACTGTCATTTATGGAAAAGAAAGAAGTTGAAAGACAGATTGAGGAATGGATAGCTGATGGAATAGTGAGACCTAGCATTTCTGATTACGCAAGTCCAATAGTCTTGGTAAAGAAAAGAGATGGGTCGACAAGGATATGCATCGACTATAGGAAGTTGAACAGAAAAATAATAAAGGACAGATATCCCTTACCGGTAATAGAAGACCAGATAAATCGTTTAGCTAAAGCAAAAATTTTTACTACATTGGATTTAAAAAACGGATTTTTCCATGTACCTGTTGACGAGTATAGTGTAAAGTATACTTCATTTGTTACCCCAAGCGGACAATATGAATTTTTGAAAACACCATTTGGCTTGTGCAACTCACCAGCTGTTTTCCAGAGATACGTGAACGAAGTATTCAAAAAATTGATCCACAAAGGAATCGTATTAACTTACATGGATGACCTGATAATTCCATCAACGACAGTAGAAGAGGCTTACAGCAACCTAGAAGAAGTATTGAAAACAGCAGAAAACTACGGCCTTGAATTTAAATGGTCTAAATGCTATTTTATAGACACAAAGGTAGAATACCTTGGACATGAAGTTGAGGATGGTACCGTTAAACCTTCTCTCAGAAAAATAAAGGCGGTTATGAACTTTCCTATACCGACAACGATAAAGAAGGTGTAGAGCTTCCTTGGATTGACGAGATATTTTAGAAAATACATAAAGGACTACGCGTTAATAGCAAAACCATTATCAGACATGTTGAAAGATGAGAAAAAATTTAAATTCGAAGAAGACGAAAGCGCGTCATTTAAAAAATTGAAAGAACTTTTGTGTACAGAGCCAGTATTGAAAATTTTTGACCATGAAAGTGAAACCGAACTGCATGTGGATGCAAGTAGCGATGGATTTGGAGCTGTGCTACTACAAAAAAATATGGACGATGGCCAACTTCATCCAGTTTACTATTGGAGCCGCAAAACAAACGACGCACAAAAGAAATATCACAGTTATGAACTCGAAGTTCTTGCCGTTGTAGAAGCTCTTAAAAAATTTAGAGTGTATCTTTTGGGAATACAATTCAAAATACTGACTGATTGTGCTTCATTTGCAGTCACGATGAATAAAAAGGATCTGTGTACAAGGATAGCAAGATGGGCTCTATTGCTCGAAGAATATAATTACACGCTAGAACATAGACCAGGTGTACGAATGAAACATTGTGATGCGTTAAGCAGAAATCCCATTTTGATGATAATTACAAAAAACGAATTTTTAGAAAGATTATTGCAGGCACAGAAAAACGACTCACATTTAAGAGCAATTTTTAAAATATTAGAGAACGGACCCTATGGAAATTTTGTAATACATAAAAACCTTTTATACAAAGAGGTAGAAAATGAAAATTTGTTAGTGGTACCTGAAGGTATGCAGTACGACATCATCAGAAAGGCTCATGAGAATGGACATTTTGCTACAAGGAAAACTAAAGAACTTATTGACAGAGAATATTACATACCTGAATTGGAAAAGAAAATTCAAAGGGTGATTTCAAATTGCATTTCGTGCATACTTACGGAAAGGAAGTCAGGAAAGCAGCAAGGACTATTAAATCCAATCAACAAGGGTGATACTCCACTGGACACTTACCATGTAGATCACTTAGGACCAATGGAAAAGACAGGAAAAGCTTATAGATACTTACTAGTGGTGGTAGATTCATTCACAAAATTTGTTTGGTTGTACCCCACAAAGTCAACAACTACGAAAGAAGTTTTAGAGAAATTAGATCAACAAAAGCAGATATTTGGGAACCCAAGAGTTATTGTGTCAGATAGAGGAACTGCCTTTACCTCCAACGACTTTGAAGCTTACTGTCAAAATGAAGAAATTCGACATATAAAAATAACAACTGGTGAACCCCGAGGGAATGGTCAAGTTGAGCGAATTAATAGAATAATAATACCAGCATTATCAAAGATGACCATCGAAAAACCTGAACATTGGTACAAATACGTACGGAAACTTCAAGAAACCTTGAACAATAGTTACCAGAGAAGCATCAACATGACACCATTTGAACTTTTGTTTGGAACAAAGATGAGAAGACCTGAAGACATAAGAATGAGAGAAGTGATAGAAGAAGAATATACCAACCTATTTATCGAAAGCAGAAACGAATTGAGAAGAGAAGCAAAAGAACAAATAAAGAAGATCCAGGAAGAAAACAGAAAAACATTCAACAAAAGAAGAAAAGAATCTCAGCAGTACCAGGTGAACGATCTAGTGGAAATCAAACGAACACAATTCCAAAATGATTCAAAGCTGCTACCAAAGTTTTATGGACCCTATCAGGTTGTGAGCACTTACGGACCGGATCGTTATAATCTGGAAAAGGTCGGAAACCATAATGGCCCAAACAAGACGACTAGCAGCGCAGAAAAGATGAAGCCATGGATGCCATTCGAGGCGAATGACGGCTAGTATGGCCGAGATGTAGGAGTTTACCCAAGAGAGGGTGTCACTTTTCGGCCTCCCCACCATTCGCGCACACACACATTTTATTTTTTAAGAATATCAAGACCAGTCGAGAGAGTTCCGCCGAAGACACCGCACTTCTCAAAGACGTGCAAAGACGAATTCATTGTTCATTTTTGTTATTATCAAACAGTTTATTTTAATATACGGTTTAATTCTAAAACGTGTTACATTAAAAGAAAATCCCTAGATAACATAAAGAAAGAGCCTATATATATATATTTTTTTTTGTTTCTAATTAATTTTCTTGTTTTTTTTTGTTTTCTTTTTTCTTGTTCTGTTAGTAAACCAACTCTATTAGGTACAGAGAGTTTTATTTAAAGTTTTTTTTTAAGTAAGTTTTATAAATGGATCGATGAAGATTAACTAGAGAACGCCACACACAAACTGGCTCTGCAGTTTTGGTGGCTACTCCGGCTTGCGCCAGTTGCTATGTCTCTGTCCATGTACACGATTTTTTTTTATGGCATATTGCCGGGGTTAATTTTTCTTTCTTTCGCACTTTATTTACGCCTATCTTTGATTTTTCTATTGTGTCGCTGTATTTTTGTTTTCTTAACGTAAATAAAGGTATATTATTATTATTATTTAAATCTAACACCTCTATAATTAATCTATTAAACCACAAGAAAGACAACACCAACATCCTCGAAAATAGTGGTGTTTACAAACTGAATTGTGACACTTGCGGTGTAGTATACATAACAAAAACTGTTATTGGAACGGAATCTGCAATAACGATGGAATTCATATAGAGACATCTTCTTGATGCTGAATTACAATTAAAGAACAGTTCGAAAATTTTCTTAATATATCATTCTATGAGAAAATATGTGTAAATTACTATAAATATTTGCTATGACTTTTAATTCTCTAAAAAAAACACTGTATTCGTTTAAAATTTCTTTATTAACGCCCACTTAAAAAAATTACAGTTTTGAATTTGGTTTCATGTTAAACATTTCTCTCCAAAACTGAACCCCTTCTTTATCCGGATCAATCCCAACAGTTAATTCATCTCCAATATTAATAAAATGCATCTTATCTTGCTCAATTGGTTTCCATTCAACATTAATTAAACCGTTTTCGCGTTCAAGATTATTCGGATTTCCATTCCTGGCAAAATTCGTCCACAACTTAACCATTCTTTGAATGGTTATATCTTCGTAACTGTTTTGTTCAACCGGTGGATTTTTAGACATCTTAAACAAATAACACAATTCATCTGAATGAGAAGCTCCGGGAAAATCGACACCTTGTAGTTTTTTATATAAGTTTAATTGCCCGTCGAAGGCGAATTTAAAAAAGTAAATCGGATTTTGTAATGTTTCTAAATGCCTTCTTGCCGTGTTTTGAATAAGAGAGCTAACATTATCTGTGTACATTCTATAAAATTGTTTACGATCTTTGGGATACGTTGGGTTTCGTTGGTTAAAATAAAAAATTTTCGCTTTTTCGGCGATTTTTAATGATTCTGGACTTCCTCTTTTAAAATCTGATTTAAATGGAATCATATCTTCAAAATTTCTTATTGAAATCGGATTTTCAGTTCGTTTTAATATTTTTCTTATTGTTGAATCAAAAAATATTCCTTCATCTGCCGTGTATCCAATAATCATCGGTACTTTTATGTATTCACCTTTTCTTACGCGTTCGTTACAATCCCCAAAAATTATTTTTTCTTCTATATTATCATCATTTTCTAAGATTGGATAAAACAGTCTTTCGTTATTCGATACTATGGAACCTCTAAACATCATTTGTCCTTCGATAATTTTCTCCATCGGTTGTTTCTGTAAAAATTCTAAAATATCTTTATCATTTTCTGAAGAGAAACCCAATTTCTTTGCCAATTGTTTCATGGAATCGCTTTGACCGAACGACCAATGAAGAAGAGCCGATGTGCTGTGGAGAATTATTTTGTGGAAAAGTCCTTCACATGCTGGTACAAACATAAGGATATGGGCTAGAAAAGCTCCCGTACTTTCTCCGAACAACGTTACGTTGTGTGGATTGCCCGAAAATGATTCGATATTTTGTTGAATCCAATTTAAACCCATGATGACGTCTCGAAGTCCTTGATTACCAGGGATTCCTAAAGAACCATCTTGAAGACATGACCAACCTAAAAAAAATTAATGAAGAAATGTGAAATCTTTTTAAAGAAGGAGTTTAATACCGAAAGCTCCGAGCCTATAAGAAATTAATACAAGAACTACATCTTCAGTTAATAAAAATTCTGGGCCGTAAATTTCAGTTTTTGTATTTCCTATTAAAAATGCTCCTCCATGGATGAAGACTATAACTGGTTTTAACTTTGTTTTTCCAGTATTAACTTCTGGAGTATAAACATTTAGATGTAAACAATCTTCACTTCCTTCTAATTTTCTGGTGTATATATTAGGTGCAATACATCCTTCTTTTTCTTCAGTTACATCTAAAATTCCTTTCCATGGTTTAAGAGGTTGAGGAGGCTAAATCCATAAAATAAAATGATTAAAAATATGCAACTCAACTAGCACACAATAATAAAAATAATAATCAAAATTTATCAATTTTTATCTTAAATTTACCTTAAATCTTAAATTTCCGAAGGGAGGTGTAGCATATGGAATTCCACAGAAGCTATAGAAACTTCCGTTTTTATAATTTTTCTGAAGTTTTCCACGTAACTCTCCATGTTTTACTTTAACTAGAACTGTGTCCATTTTCTATTTGATACTGTATTAACTTTTTACTAGTCATTCAGAAGTTAGATAAGGCATTTCTTTAAAAAACTGTTTGTTTATGTTATATCTATTATAAACAAATTAAAATAATTATATAACAAGTTTGTCTTATTTAAAATTCTTTTTCTGTTATGATGTATCTTTATAATGAGTGTCTTCTTAGATACAACATAAAATAGAATCTTAATCTCCAAAAATAATGTCTTTCAACTTATCATGTTAAATTGCTTAACCTTTGCTTATTGATTCTTTTTTAAATACACCTACATACTCTTAGTATGCGCCAACTATCAAATAATTCTCAATTAGTTCCAAATAAAAATGAACAAAGTTTTGTTTCGAATAAAATATTAAGATTAAAAATAATATTACAAACGGGAAACGTATTGTAGCTTATTCGAAATATTTTATGCAACG